AGCAGCCAGGATAGTAACACAAAGAGAAGCAGAATGTGCATAGTTATGATTATCACCCCTTGCATTCTGTTGGTAAGAGAATGTATCACAAAACACTGCGTCAAGGGAACTTGAAAAGCGCTGGAAATGCGCATGATTTTGACCAGCAGAAATGACAGACACAAGCTGTAGGTTATGTAGCGCCATGGGTAAATGATCTTACAAATTGTATCTGTGGGTTCAAAAAGATTGATAAGTACCAAAATTAAAAGCAATAGAATGCTCATCAGAAGGACAAGGCTAAACTCTCTATTGGACGCTTTGACAATGGGAGTATTCCAGAATTTACAAGTGACAGCGAATGATAAAAGGGTGACGATTATACCAAGGGCAGTAAACACAAGAATGACTATTCCTCCTGGACTGGAAAACTTCAAGTTGGCCACCGGTAAATCTGAGCACTCTGTCCGAGCCACATTGGATTGCTTCCCAGCTGGGCATTCAGTGCAGCTTTCCGAACCAGGAATCGGGTTAATTGTGCCTCGAGGACACGACACACACTGCCAACAACAAGGCGAAGTTATGGATTTTCTGGTTCCAGCCAAGCATTTGTCAACGCATTCAGATTTCGGAGGTCCACCAGTTAGAGTGTTCCAGCGAATTTTCTCGGAAAACTGTAACCGCTTGTCTTGCTCCGCACTTTCTTCCCATTTTCCGACTACAACTTCTTTTAATCGCTTTGTATTTGCTTCTTGCACTTGCTGGATATTGACAATATCATAAAAAGCAGTTCCTCTACCGCCAAGCTCATTGAAAGTTATATTTCCGGTAAGTCCAACAAAGTTAACCCTAGAAAGAAGTCTCTGCATGACGTTAACATCACTGCCAAGTTTCATCAGGTAATCGTCACCTGTTGTTATGTTGAAATCTTGAGCCAAGATGGCCAAAGCATGGGCCACAGAATATACAGCGTCAATAACGTACGGGGTATAAGATATGCGCAAGTTTTGGACGAAATCACGGAGGCAGGGATCCATTTTCATTTCATCTCCCTTACTTGATGAGCAATTTTTTATCTGCGATCTAATTTCACCCCACCATTCCGGAAAGTATTGCTGAAGTGCCGTCATAGTTAAGCCTTTTCTGTGTCCTTCAAATCGCGTGTCATAGAAATTGTGCGGTTGGATTCCAATGGATCCAACAAGGGTTGAAGTGCCTGGCTGTGCCAACGACGTGAATGCGTCGCTTAGGATCCAGACGCGTTCAGTGAGGTTTTGCCTGATCACTTCACTCAAAAAGTACTTTTCATAGCTGCCGTATAGCCACAAAATGACAACTCTGATATTTTCGTGCCGTCCAAGTTTTGTGACAATATTCCTAATACTCGAGAGCTGACTTTCACCTGGAATAAATTCCGTGAAAGCCACACAAAAGGAGTTGTTTCTGACTGCAGCTTCCTTCACTATTGACCACAATCCACTTCGTCCAAACGAATCATCTTGTCCCACAGCAGCTACATAAGTCCAATTGAAATGCTCTACAAGGTCGGCCATAGCTTTTGCGCGAAAACTATCTGAAGGGGCCATTCGAAACAAATGTTTATAATCATGTGAACGAAGTTCAGCACTCGTCGCTGACGGACTTACCCCCGAAGCATTCAATGTTTGAAGAATCCCAGCAACAACAATTGCCGTGCGAGATTCTGTCGGGCCAATGACAGCCACGATAGATTTCTTCTTCTTCATGTCACTCTTTGTTACGTTTGTGTTACAGTTGTTTTGAACAAAGTCGAAAGTGATTTGAGTTGCCCTCGGCAAACTTTCGCAATAATCTCGTATATCGTAACCGAGTGTTATGTTTGGAAGGAGTGTTGAGTCATTGTTGATCTTTTCAATGGCGTATATTATGGCCAGCGTGCGAGCTAAGCCTGACGTGAAAAGCTCGCTGCATTCGCCCTCAGATGTTCCCGGCAAATGGACAGGTACTTCTCCACCTAAAATAACATCTCCCTCCCTATATGGCGCCTGTACCAAAGCGTACAAAGCAAGCCAGTAAATAAAGAAAGGCTTGTAATTCTGCATCCTTGAGGTATAAGAGGTTTCAGTTCACCTTCAGTTATCGATGACTTGCTCTGTGCAACACTGTTTTACGTTGGTATTTGCCTTAGCACGTGGCAATGAAAATGTACTTTTCTTTCTATCGAAGCGTTCTTGCTCTAAGTAAAACATCACTCAGAGCCGGTGTTAATTCGATGGTCCAAATAGATAGCTGACACAAGAAATGCAATTACCGCGAGAAATCAAATGTTCCAACGTTGGGTTTTTAATGGTTTTTATCGCTAAACATCCAGCTGTTTTGGTAATGTTGCAGAGTAGTAGCTGTTAATTGTGATACGACTTGTTGGCATAGAGAGTGATCAGCGATAAGGTGAGATATCGATTCGCGTGAAATGAGTCCTAACTAGTGCGTCTTTTTTTTCTAGTTTCAAAAAGCAACTAAAAATTCAGGAGTGCAAAAATGTTAATATGTATATAAAGGCACCTTCGAATTTAATATGCTTTTAATTATAATTAATCTCAGGCTGAACGGAAATTACTTTTCTACCCCGCAAGCCTTACTTATTGTTCTTGGGTGGCTTGTTTACATTATTTAAAATTGAGGTAAAATAGTAATCAAACGAAAAAAATTACAACCCGAATACTGCAGTTTGAAATTGTACATCAAAGCGTAATCAAGTATGCAATATAGAGATGTTTGGTTTTTAAAATAAATGCTGTTGTGACGCACACCATGCTATTAGTAATGACAGCTTGCAAGGGAAATGTGTGCCATTCGGACTGAGTACAAAAACCTCTAATATTTGGAGTGGGGTTTAAATTAAAATATTTTTTTGTTGGTTGACTGGTTGTTGGTTTGGCTCCTGGTTCGCTCGCTTGCTGGCTCAGCTCGCTTGTTAGTTCACTTGCTCGCCATTGTTCGATCGTTCTTTCCATCGTTAGATTGTTTGGCCTTTCCTTCGGTCTTTGGATCGTATATTTGCTTCGCCGTTCGCTCTTTTGTTCGCTGAAAATTTAAGGCCCAATCAGCAAGTACCCAATCGATCTGTTCCTGCTCAGTCGGTTTGCGAAACAAATCACGTGACGTGACCGATTGACCGAATAACAGAATCGAAAGTCACTCGTAACGACAGGAGAGACTATCTAATTTTCACAAGGCGTCGGGGAGACCGCATTGGACTTCCCAGCCGATGAAATTTGCCTCCTTTAGCTTCCTTTTAGGAAATGAGTTCTTTTCTAACCGAAACGTTTGCTATTGTTCTGGAGACAATGTTGCCACTGCTATAAAAAACGTGGATGATTACCTCTTAATTTTGCAATTGTCCAAATTCACCAGTTTGAATACGTGCTCAAGTTAACAATTTAATTTCGGCAGTTCCGTGTGCAACATATTTAACAGCTTACAAGTTGGAGAGCAGTCTCCGCAATTTTTTTCGTGTTATTCCTAAACATGTACAAACAGATTCCATTCTAATCACCAAAGGAAACAAATCTAGATTGCTAAATATAAGATTGGAAGTCCAACGATGGAGACAATAATAAAAAAACAAGAAACAATCAAAACTAAAGTGTGTAGGATGGATGTTCTTGTTAATACTCACCTTTTCATAAAGCAGTCCAATAACAGAGGAACGCACTCGCATGCCAAGTGTGAACATTATGTGGAAATACTGCTGGAGGACTAACGACTGCAATATGGCTGACACAAACATGGACGCTGCGTATACATAGCCTCTCCATGTTTCTTCCGAATGGTTTTTGTCTTCTATGAATTCAATTAACATTCTACCGAGAGAGATATATAAATCCTTAGGAGATGTACTCCTAACATAATTGGACATCATTTGCAAGTAAATGTATGAAACCCAAACACAGTATAAGACTGCATATCTTCACCATCTACCGGTACAATATGGACGTACATGACTAGGTAGCAGTCGGCTTGATAGCTCAGTTAATAGATTCACTCCAGCGGGAGCGCAGAGGCCTCGGGTGGGAATCTCGTTCAAGCTTGATAGATGTTTTAGGCTTTATTTGTGTAACTGTCTATCTTGCGCACATAACTGCGATGCTCCGTCTTAAATTAGATATTATTGTCAGGGGAAAAATGATATTTCCTTTTTCCATTAACTGCATTAATAAATTTAAATACAATTTGAACACAGAACATTACTCTATTGTGATTGGCTGAAAGTCGGCAAGTATATCGTTCATTTTTCATTTGCGCTGCAG